AGTGGCGGATCCAGAGGGGTTTTTTGGGCTTCAGGAAACCCCCCCACCCTGAGAATTTTCTTTAAAAATCATATATTTTCACCATTTTTCTCAATTTTTTCCAACATGGAAACCCCCCTAAAACCTATACCCTCATTTTTTTTATAAGGTTTACCATTTTGATAACTAAATACTGGTATATGAGATATCTAAAATTGAAACATATTGTATGAAGGTTCTTATAATTATGGAAATTTAAGGAGTTTCCCTATCAACTAAAAGTAAATGTAGAGATTCAACTTGGGAGAATTAACTGTGATAACCTGTGATGAATAACCTGAATGTACCAGTATATGTGTGCAATCTTATTTTTGACAATTATATTGCAGAAACACAATTAATATTAATGGAAAATTGAGGATCTTTTTATTTTACTCGTATATATCTTGGAATAAAAAAACTCATAATTATTTTTTACGCATTGCAAATTGTAGTTCAGAGACTGGCATAAACTTGGTTAATACCGGAGTAGTATATAGATGTAGCCTTTGGGCCACTTTTTGAGGAGCCAGCTCCTCATATGAGGAGCCAGCTCCTGCAAAATGGCCGCCACCGAAAAATTTGAAAAATAAATTACAATTTTGAGAAAAAAACAAAAACCAAAACCAAAAAGGAGAAAAAAAATGGAAAAAAAACAACTTTTTCTTAACTAAAAAAAAAATTACAATTTGATGTTTTCCAAAAAAAATGATTTTACATTTATTTCATTATTTGATTTTGTTTTTCTCGAAATGGCCGTCATCTCGAAACATTGATGTTGTTTTCCAAATAGAATAATTATACATTATCATAAATTGATTTATTTTTTCTCAAAAAGGCTGTCATCTCAAAACATGAAGTGTGGAATGTACGTGTCAACCAGGCATGCAAAATGGTCGCCTCCCCTGTTTAAAATCGGACCAGCACGGCTAGTGGCCGGCACGAGGTACAAAATGGGCGTCATATCAAAATGAGAGAAACATTTAATTAACGTTGAATGGATAAACTAATTTGGCTGACATCACACATGTATGGACAGGTACGAACATGTACAATATACCCTTTTAACAAAGATTTTTATAAAGTTTGGGGATAAGACAATATTGGGGTGTGAATGTTTGTTCGGCAAGGAAAAAAATAACTAACACACCCGCAGGGTGTGAGAGCGTTAGCTAAAATCTCCAATCGAGGAGACAATACATGTATACAAGTAGTCACGAAAACTTTACGTTGTAACAGAAATATACAATACTCAGTTTTCTCCAAGTCCGCGAAGTAATGCGTAATGAAAAACAAAACAAAAACATTTTTTATACTCATAATTTCACAAGAGGTTGTCATAGAGAATGGAACATTCACTTGTCTACAGACGGATCTATTTTCTCAGGGAACTTAAATGGCGACCAAAATGAGGTGACACGTGTCACCAGCTTCTCATATGAGGAGATGGCTACTCAAAAAGTGGCCCAAAGGCTACATCTATATACTACTTACCGGTATATTTATTTTCAATGTGATAAGAAAAGCAGAGGGAGAATGTAAGTATAAATGCAAAGGTTAAAACATTTTAAAAATGGAAATCAATCTTAAAACAAAAGGTCAGTTGTGCTATATATATTTCTATTCCGTCTTTGCGTATTGCAGAGTTATCTTCTCTTGGGAGCAGGTATTGATTGTTACGTCACTTGTTTGTGAGAGTAACGTCATCAATTTTTGAGAAAACGACGTAATTTTTTCGCACAAACCAATGACGTAACAATCAATACCTGCTCCCAAGAGCAGATAACTCTGCAATACGCAAAGACGGAATAGTGTAGTGGTCATCACACTCGCCACTCTGTGGTGGGAGACCCAGGTTCAAATCCTGGTGGAAATAATAGTACAACTTGAAATTATGTAAATACTGCAAACATATATAAACATAAACAACTATTTATATACAACTCATTTCCCATATGGATATATATATACTTGTTAATTTGTTCTTTACTGCATACAACAACAGGACATTCGAGCATCTTGGTAGGCAGTGAGTAATACATTTATGATTTGTGAACTTAAGCTAGAAAATGGATTTATCAAAGTCTTGGTGTTGGCCTCTTGTGAATGGCTTTCGTCCGTCATAGTAACCACTTGGTCAAACTTTATACAAAGGTCAAGTATGATTACAGATTTTGTGAACAACGACATCTTGGGGTGGTGTAGTGAAGTAGGTCAGTATGACCTCACGTGACCTATTCATATGCTTCCTGACATAAGTAAACTGTTTGTGTTTAGAAATTCTTACCGATGGCCATGGGGGTCCATGGATTGTCTTGTTATTAAATATGTTCTATGCACAGTAGATCCTATTTCTTTCATTTTGTCTTAAGAAAATGTTGCCCTAAATGGATCAGTCGATATATTGACAAGGGTGTTAAAATAATAGTAAATTAGTAACAACAAAAAGGCCTACATGGAATATCTGACAGGTTTTCTTAATTGATATACAATTGTTTAAACTACCATTCATTTCATTCTCATGGAAGAATATTCAGCGCACGTATGTCCTAAGGTGGGATTCTGTTCGTTTTGTTATCTTATAGTTCTTATCTGGGGGCGCCACAGGCGCCCGAAATCTACACTATCATTACAAAGGTTACTGAACTATGTGCGCTCGCTTATAGGCAGTGCATATTTCATATTAACTTTTAAGAAACAAAAAGATTGGAATTGGGGGCCGAATGTTGACCCCACCTTTACATTTTAGATAATTACCAGAGTACCAACTAGTAAAAGTAAACTTTCGAGAAAATAACACACCCATTGGATCACATCTACAATCACGCATCACATTATTCTTTCACAAAAAAATAACATAGTTAGACCACAAGTGCGATTTCAACCTTCACTTAGTCAGAATTTTACATCCGTATAAATTCACTTGATAACCCAGTTATTAATGCAAAAATGGACTACATGATACAAGCGGAATCATTGCTAACAATCGTATAAGTTCGTTCCTTTTGAAACACCGCTGTTGCTTTATATCAACCCAGGCAGCCATGTTGTGAAAGCAGGGTTTACGATTATCTAGACCGACATCTACATTTTGTGTGTTATATGCATACTATACTTTTTTTTAATCTGTAGCATATAAATGGAGTCTATATTACATGAACTGTGAATAAAAAATCGTTGTCATAAAGTTTTGAACCACTAACATGCAAGTAAGTTTTTCGTGTCTAATGTGTTCTGCATCAAAGAAATAGTATAGGCCTAGTTCAGAAATAAGAGGTCGCGCGGCATATCCTTATCCTTATCCGTAGTTGCAGAATTCGTGATTGCTGTTGACCCCACGGGTACCGTATCCGACAACTTGACTTACTGCATACTTCCCACCTCTCACAATGGAAAAGTGTGGGCAATAAATCACTTGCTACCACAGTCCACCGCACACATAATCCCCTTTCATGGCCAATCATGATTACATGACCATGAAAGGGGGTGTGCCCAGTGGACTGTAGTCACAAATACTGTAAGAAAGGGGAGATAATCAATCAGTGAGTAACGATCTGTATCTGTCTGTATCTGTATAAATACATGGACTCCTTCTGATAGAAGATAGCTGTCCACGGGATGTGCGCTCAGTCAAGGCACAAAGTTCTTTTGAAAGTGGTCAACTTATCAGCCGAAACAGGGCCCGGGTCTAAACTGTTCCAATCCTTGACTGTCCTTGGAAAAAAACTATTTTTAAAAAGGTCCGAATTTGCAGGTATGATTTGGTAAGTTTTGGTATGCTTTTGGCGAGTTCTTTGTGAATTTGGAGTTAAATAATTGTCCGGAGGTATTGCCACCAAGCCTGAAATAAGTTTGTAAAACAACACTAGCCGATGTTCCCTGCGTGTTTCTGCTAGTGGTTTGAGTCCTAAATTTGCTAACATTTTAGTTACTTTTGATTTCCGTCCATAGTTGTTATATATAAATCTGGCTGCACGTCGTTGAACCGATTCAATGGTATCTGTCTCTTTCTGGTTCGCTGGATCCCAGACTGTGTCACTGTATTCTAAAACCGAACGAATTAGTGCGATGTAAGCTGTTTTCTTTAGGGATTCAGGGCTGTGTTTAAGGTTGCGGCGAAGAAATCCGAGGGTGGAATTAGCTTTTCTGGCAGTTTTGTTGATATGGGTGCTGAATTTCAAATCTTCACTAAAAGTAAGGCCTAAATAGGGACTGTCCGAAACTTGCTGTAGAATTTGGTTGTTTAACGAGTAAAAGTGTTCATGCTGTTGTTTAGACCGACTCACTCTCATTACATGACATTTTTTAACATTAAAACGCATTCCCCATGTTGATGCCCACAGCTGCAATGCATCCAGATCACGTTGTAGTTCGATTTGGTCCTGCTGGTTCCGGATCCGTCTGTAAAGCAGACAATCGTCTGCAAACAGACGGATTGTTGAATGCACGACTGATGTTATGTCGTTGATAAAACAGAGGAGCATCATCGGCCCGAGGACCGTTCCTTGTGGAACACCGGATATGACTTTGGCCTCAGATGACTGTTCCCCTTCCACTACTACTCGTTGTTTCCTACCTTCTAGAAATGAATGGAGCCAGTTGTGTAGTTTTCCAGTGATTCCGAAATGTTCTAATTTGTGAAGTAATTTCCTATGAGGTACAGTGTCGAAAGCCTTACTAAAGTCTAAAATAATGATGTCCGTCTGAATTTTGTCGTCAAAGTTTCCCAATATATCGTGCGATGTACTAATTAATTGTGTTTCACAGCTGTGTCCCGAACGAAAACTGTGTAGAACAATGCTTCAGTATTCTATTAGGTATGCCGTCTGGTCCACTAGCCTTACTTACTATCAAGTTAGACAAAAGCTTTTCCACACCTTCCGTTGTGATGGTTAGATCTTTAATGTCAGCATATTTGGCACCCAAATCTGGGAGAATCTCCTCTTTATCTTCCTTTGTGAATACTGACGTAAACTGATCGTTCAAGATGTTGGCTTTCTCACTACTTCCTTGATGTAATATTCCGTCTTTAAGTGGGGTGCTACTCCGATGTTATCCTTTTTTTTCGATTTTACATATTTCCAGAATGTTTTCCTATTTCCAGTAGTTAAAGATGTTTCTAGCACAGTGTTTACATAGACCCAATGTGATTTCCTAATGGTTTTCTGAGTTTCCCTTTTTTCTCTTTTATATTTGTTCCAAAGTTCTTTACTGCCCGATTGTTTGGCCTTTATATAATAACGATGTTTCTTTTTTATGAGTTTCTTGATATTGTGAGTTATCCATGGGTGACTTTGGTACTTGGATGATAGTTTGGATGGAATAAAACTCTCCATAGCCTCAGTGATGCCTTTCCTCAAAATGGTCCATAATGTGTCAATATCGGTGGTGGTACTATTAACGACTGAATCCGACACTCGCGATAGATGTTCCTCTAAGGAATTCCAGTCAGCCTTTTTGTAGGAGAATATTTTCCGCCTCTTGTTTATTATGTAATGTGGTTTGATGTCGGCGTCCACTACAACACTATGATGGTCTGATATACCTGGTATAACCTGACAGTTCTTAACTAGCGTGGTGTTGTTGGTTATGTACAGGTCCAATATGTTACCTTCCCTGGTGGGTGTGTCTTGTATTTGGGACAGACTGAACTCATCCAGTAGGTTAAGTACTTCCTGGTGGACTTGGGGTTGTGATGTTCCGGATGTCACCGCTGAGTTTTCCCAGTCCATGTTCGAGAGGTTAAAGTCTCCGGCCAGAATAAAAGAATGGTTGTCTATGTCCAGACCAAGACTTTGGATGGATGAACGGAGTTCCTCTATGGTTTGTGTACCAGTATTGGGTGGACGATAGAAAGACCCTATAATTAACGGCTTACCCTGTTTAGGCGTTAACTTACACCATGTCACTTCACAGTCCTCTGAAGATGTTATATCGCAAGTTATAAGGTTGTCTTCAACTGCTATGAAAACACCTCCTCCATGTTTATTTCTATCTTTTCTATAAACATTTTGCTGAAATTCAGGTGGAAATATCTCACTGTTACCTATGTCATTTGCTAGCCAAGACTCATTTCCTATTATAATGTCCGGTTTTATATAGTCCACTAAAGTTTCAAATTCTGCAGTTTTATTTTTTACGCTTTGGCAATTCATAATTAAAGTCCGGAGATTCTCCTGTTTAGGGGGCAAGTGTGTGGTGTTGCCGGTCATTGATGACGCTGTCGAGTGTAGCGTTGAACGACTCCTTGCTCGCCAATGTTGGGGACTGCTGTATCTTTTAGGACTGAACACAGAGTCGGGGGAGGGAATTGAGTCAATGTCTGTAGTAGCACTATTGGACAGGACACTGAATTGATTTGAGATCTCTAGTTCGTATGAGTGGAATGTGAAACTGTCTACGTTTAGATTGTCACACTTACAACACAACCATGATACACTTGAGCGCTGTAGGATTTCGATATTGTGCGAGCTCATTTCAAGACATGTAGAATGATACCAAATGTCACAGCCTTTGCAACAAACTGCTCTCTGATGATCCCATGTGACTGGGTGTTCACAATAGCCACAGGGATATACATGCGGGGGCCCAGGGTTCAACTGTATATCGCCGCTCAGTAGCAGCGCACTGAAGAGAATAAGCAGGTGGGGTTTTACTTCCGTGTTAAATGCATTTCTCCTCGGTCGGTACACAGTTTTCATGATGGAAAAGTACGTAAAGTTCTCGTGTGTTACTGCCCCAATGTTGTTTATGATGGAATGTCTCAGGGCTAGTGCCAAAAACACGAATGTAAACATTACGGACATGGGCGCCGCCATATTGGATTTTTGCCCGATGATACCTTCCTGATGGATTTTGGCTTGGTGGTTCCCTCAGACTTAATTTACTCCATTTTGTTACCCTCTGTCATGTTTAGGATGGTTTAGGATAATGCCCAATGCCAAAATAGAATGTTGGGGTATTTGAATTGTCCAAAACTGTCCGAAACATACAGTTTTTCGCGGAGCGGTGGGCTTAAGATGTTACTAGTTCCGCTCATGCGCACATGTTCGATGAATCAATACAGTGGAAAGGATAAACTTAGTTGACTCATTTTAAAATAAGGGGGGAAAATGAAATTAAAAAATGGTAATTTCATGATTGAAAAACACAAAAAGATTTCCTTATCACGCGAGAGGATAAGCATTTCCTGGAAAAGTTTATAATCTTTTGGAGCTGTTCCTTTATACAAAATTGCACATTCAAATATACCATTCATTGAAAGAACTGGAATTCCTGAGGGATTGTTAAACCCTTACATTGTATGCATGAAATTGGTTTCAATATCCTGTACCTTTGCCACATCTTGAAAATTAAACTGAAAATGTAGTCAGAAATTCAACATTCTGTCCCGTATTTTGTTCTAATTGTTGAGCAGACACTCCTTACCTTCCCTGACACTGGACCTGGATAGTAATCCAAAAACACTTGTATCCATTATGAAGGATACACTCAGACTGGGCTATTGAGAATAAAGACAAACTTACCTGGTTCTGATTAGTACTCACTCACACAGGTACATGTAAATTATCTGCAGTGTAGGGTAGGTAAAAAGATTGTCCAGGTGAACATATAAATCCCTTGTTACTCGAAAACCATGCAATAACCTTTACATGTTAACTTCACGACACGGTTGACCGTTTATGGATTGATGAGCATGTGAACGAGCTTGAGTTGTTGAAGACGGAAGAACAGAAGGTTAGTTCCACGTAGTCAGCGTAAACACACGTCACAGAATTAATGTGCAAAAAGCATATCGAAGGGGCTCCATACGGGTTATTGCCGCTGATGATATAGAACTGTATTTAGTGTCATCACTTCTTGGTTTGTTATTCTGCCTTCTGGTAATTCCAATAAAATGTCAAAGGCTTACAGAGTCACTGATTTTGTATGGGAGGAGGCATACACCGATGATATTGTTGTATTTATACGAAAACGCAAAACGGTTGCAACGTGGATCAATAATATGGCGCCCCTGCATTTAAAACCAGCATACATTTGTATACACGTTGGGAAATGACACAGTTACATAGTTATAACCCATCAATGCAGCTGTCATCATGTCTCGTTAAATTAATTGTGTTACCATATGCTTATTCCATTTGTTAACATTTACCATTTATCTTCTGTGTTGATGGACCGTTACGAATATAAAAAATGATAATAACTAATTGTTCAAGCACAAGCTGTCAGAGTTAGTGCTACATTAGCATTGGATGAGAAACTGCCTCACCTTTTCTATCAATGTAAGCACGATATATCTCACCCGGATGAGAAGTCGTGTTTGATGACTAATCGTGTCCTAAATTTGTATGTTAGCCAATGCTGAGGAGTTATCGTATGTTGTGTGAAAATCTGGCTTTAAAAAAGCATGAAGCTGGATACTTATAGTTTTGTTTACAGCTGGTCTTCCGTAGAAAGATTGCGATTGCCTCTCTCGCTCTCCATAGATTACATGAGACAACGGGCTATACAGTACATATGACCGAGTTGGTGAGCTGGGAGGTTTATAAAAGTGTTTGTCTACACATGTTCACAGAAGGAGCCAACACACACATGCATGACAGGTTAGTTTATTTTCATGTTTATCTACATATAATACCGTCACGTGTATGTGCATTAATTGTCATAGATAACTATTCATACCGTTCGAGTAAATATGACACAAATCAGGTCATAAACAGATAAAGTTGCAAGTATTTAGCTCACAGGGCCTTGATAATATATAGCATTTGGTATATATTATATGATTTGTAGAGAGAAATACTAGACGTTTCAGGGCCCGTATTCATGAAACCGTTCTCATCATGAAACCGTTCTCATGCTCAAGCATGGATTCTGTGCTCAAGCCATGTAACCCACCTAAATCATGTCAACGATCAAAAAGTCAATTTTAAATTTGAGAACAGTTTTTGGCTTCAAGTTTCTTCAATTTTTGTCCACAAAATTAACAAAATAAGATTTTTTAAATAATTTATAACTGGAACAAGAAATTAGACTTTAGCACAAAATCCATGCTTGAGCATGAGAACGGTTTCATGAATACGGGCCCTAATGTTTGTCAACGCTCCGTAAAAATGCATCATTGGTGGTGACATTTTACACAGGGACGTGAGATTTTGTTATAGCTATATTTATGTCCGACCTTATATTAAGTGTTCAGAGTAATTGTGCATATATTAGAGTTTAAGATTGACTTTCGGTTAATGCCTATCCAAACGATTATTTATACGAGTTCAGAGTAATTTTGCACACGTACATATAATAACTGGGGATGGCATTTTTACCGAAAGTCACTGAAGCAAAAATGTGGGAATCTTTCATTTTCGCATTGTCGTTTCTTTTACTTGTCCTATTGGTCCTTTGCTATTGCGTTTTCGTTTCTTCGTTTTTTGCATCGAGCCCTCCCTACTGTGGGTTGCTTTATTGCTCCTTCGTGCTTTGTTCATCTTCTCGTTTTCGACTCTTCCTAGTCCTTCGCCATCGCATCTCCAAACTCGAAGGGATCCGCTCTTGAGAAACACACTATCGAAGGCTCGCGTTCAGCAATTTGGTTGGTTAGAAACATCACTAGCTGACCTATTGCAAGGCTTAGAGACAATGGCTTAGAGACAATGGTACCTGTGCTTAGAAAGTAACCAAGAGCAAATCCAGTTGATGTTAAAGTATTTAGTTTTATTTAACCGATGTTGATTTGATTTTACCTATCTCGTTTTCGCTCCATCTCAACATCACTTACATTGTCAGAACGCTAGCCTGTGATATCTTTCCTATTATCAACACATACGTGTTTGCTAGAAATACTTGATGTAATAAATTCATCAACGACCATTTTTTTTCTTTTTTTTTTTCTACAAACATCCAGTATGTTGTTTTTAGTGAAACTGGACAATTCATCACAAAATAAATTGCTCACCAATATATATCTCTTATTATTCGTTTAGAGTGGCCTCAATAATTATTCTACATGCATTATAGTATTGTAGTTGTCCAAAGATTTTATTGTTGATAAGACCAAAATAAAATATTTGAACTTTGAACTATGTCGTTAAGGTACCGGTAGTTGATATTGAGAGATGCGGCTTAGGAAATGATTTTTTTATTAGCACCATATACGATGCAAAACACAAGTATAAGTGTCAAATATACGACACGAGCTACAATTATGTGGGTCATAGACCGACTTTCTGCTTTAATTTATTCTATAGGTCAGCAGACTATATATGTGTCAAGCTTTGAAACATACATGGCTGGTGTAAATTGTCAATGTGTATATTTTGAACATTGTTCATCACATAGCCACGGTTATAATTCACTTTGGTCCCCGATACGTGTACTATGTACGGTGACCGATAAGCGTCAACTAACACATGCGAGACACCTCCCCTTTTTTAAAGTCAACAACGCGATAATATGACGACGGAGAGCAGAGAGACACGCGAATACGGTGGCGACAACGCGAGAATATGACAGGGACAGAACGTTACCAATCTCGTTCCCTTTCTATCTTTTTTTCTCCCCTTGGTACTAGCAATCTCGCTTCCCTTTCATCGATATCCTTGTGTTTCTGTAATCTTGCGTAAGGAAATTGAAAGTTGCGCGTTTCGCATTCTTGCGTTGCCGTTCCCTTGCCATCACATTCCCGCGTTGTCGCGTTGTTACCTTAGGTCAAGGACACAACATTATGGGATTTACTATTTCGCCCTAACCGAACATCATAGTTAGCGACAAATGCCAATTCCAATTCGCTTCAAAACCGAAATGGCAAGACTACAAACGAACAAGAAATTTATTTCTCAATTTATGTAAAATTTATTGTGGGGAGGGCTTTTGTAATGTTGATATAACTCGTGCCTAATCAGTTTGCTTCATTTATGCAATAAAATATGTTTAAATCAACGAGAGACTAAGACAGCGAAAACATACACCAGTAATAAAGATCGATGAACTATCTTCATTTATCGTTCTCCCGTTTTCGTTTATCTACGTATAGTTGTACTGGCTGTTATCTGATGATTATTTATTGTTTTAGTTTAAATTTGACTACAATCAATAAATAAGTCCCCGGCTGCTGTTACATTGCAATAAATTTAAACATTTCAAAGAGATATGGCGGGTTGCTATGCCTATTTCCCCAAAGCTATGTCACGCTAGTGCGCGCATCCAACCGTGCACTGTTATGACGCGTCCTCGGGGATTTTTTTTTTATACAGGTAGCAATATCGGAACCCGTGTCTAACAATAGACTATTGTAAACAGACCACATATTTGGTATTTCGGCATTATTTGTTGGTGTTTAAGGACTTGATATAATTACTATTGCCAGTTGGAGGGTAAAACAATTCATAAACTTCATCAAAAATAGTCTTACCTACAAAGCGTAGCTGTACTGTACACGTGTACAGGGAGTTGTTGACCTGCTTCGATAGAAGTATGTCGCACTAAATAGTAAAGAAATTATTACTAACAAAACTGATAAAACAATAGGTATGTTATTAAAATGAAAACAAAATTTTCCATCGATTTAAAAAAACTATTGCCTTATTAAGGAAAATGATCACATGCCTAAATATTTAAAAATATATATATAACTGAAGGAGGATTCGAACCTATACCGTTTATTTTCTAGTCGCAAGTAAACTGCGTTACACATTCGGCTACATAGAACATATATATATTGGCAATTACAAACTTATTTAACCCGAGAAACACCGGTCGCAGTTTAGAGAAACTTGACCACCCCTGTTTTTCATTAATTTGAGCACTTTCCCAAAGGAGGACCACTTTTCCGTAATACGATTTGTTTTTGCAAATTACATCACGGTCACAAAAAGTTTATTCAAAAGTTGGTCCTCGGATGGGAAAGTGCCATCACTTTCATAGATATAGTGTATCTGGCTATATTTGCAGTATCATATTAGCAATACCTAATTTCTCAGCAGTTTAAAAATTCATATTCAATTGGTTTTGTATCTTTTGTATGCATTTTTGCTACCCGAAATGTTTTACGCCTTAATTTTTTTCCCCGTTTTCATAAATGCCGACTTAGGGAAATACGGGCAGTTTTCCGCCATACCTCTTTACACAATGGTTGTTTACCACCACTTGTCAATACCGTTAATAACAAATACTGTACTTCTTTGGAGTTTTCATTAATCTATATATCTATACAGACATGTCCAATGAGGAGAGGACCGTCGTTAATCCGGGGGAAGTAATTCGACCGTATGTTGATCTCGACCTCGTAAAGAAGCTTGTTAAGCGTCTCTATGACTTGGATGTTATAGAGGGAAGAGAACTTAACAGTTACGACGACAGGAATTATCATGTGAACGTTTCCAAGGAAACGACAAACGAACATATCGGGCATGTGTGTATCCATGGTTACGTTTTGAAAGTACTGAACTCTCTGGACTCTAGACATGAAGATTACGTAGGTAAGTAAAACATGGTTTGTCAAGGTCAGGGTTAAGGTCATGACGATACTTCTGTCCGATAGGTATATATCACAGGAACCTGCGAATATTGTACAGCTACATTTGGACCTAAACTGAAGTGTTCTGAGAAAATTACTCGTTTTAAGGGTTTATATGATTTTACCCGCCTCCCTATGATTTTATTTCATGGTTACCGAGTATTGATCTTCAACCCTAAACCATGCAAAATTACTCAAAGCATCTCACTTTAGGTCCAAATACAATTGTAACAAATTATCAGGTCCCTGTGGTATATTATCACACAGGGAATATTTCGATACTGATTAAAAGCAAGATCCTATTTTGATATGCTTTACCTTTGGTTTTAATCTCCTTTTAAAACCAAAAAAGGTTTAATGTTTAAAACCCGATTATGGTTTGTATTTCAAAATAACAGCTACGAGGTCACCCTCGCATGAATGATCATTTAATCAAATATCGGTAATGGGGGATATGAACTTTTCGGTAACATTTTTATGATCATCAGGCTGAAGTTCGGAGTGCCTGTGAACTTATATGATGGCGCGGCGTCCGTGCGCCAACATTCCTTAACAGCCAAAAGTGTAAGACAATAATGATTGTCTTGTTATTGAAAGGATATAAAGTTTGTTCAAATAAATTACCATGGCTGATTTTCAAGGTCACAGAAGAAAAAATTCGTATTTTTTTTTTATATAAATCACTCCCTCAGAATTTCAACTGAAGCATGTTGATAAGTGTGTGTGTTTACGATGGATGATTGGATGGAGTAAGTTGTGGGAGGGGGCAATTTATATACTTTATTCATATTCTCTAAATGCACGTGTACCTAGCATCATTAAAATTGGTCCTTTACATTTGGAGAAATGATAAGTGAAAAACGTTTTTAAACAAGAGACGTAACTCTGTGACAAGGGGAGGTAACAATAAGTTATATACCATTTTTCCTTTCCATGAAAGGGTTTTGTGTACAAATTAAACTGTCATTCAAATCAACGCAGTAAGTATGAACCCTGTTTTATATTAAGGTGCATAACGTCAATAAAATATCGTCGGATCGAAATAAAAATAAAAAACTTCAGAAGGTGCTAATTACATCAGTTAATAAGTTTCGTGAAATATGGCTGAAAGCTATGCAGACAAGATTGTTTCTACAGGCTGACGGACGAAGAACCAGATTCCAGTATACCCCGCAGCGAAGTTAAGGGGGGTATACTTATACGGTCTCTTTTTGGGCATTTTATTAGTAGTATTTGAGCATGTATGGCATCCAAAGCACTTTTGATCCTTTCAACAATGACGTCAGTTATTCCTTAATGTCATCCCATTTGACATGTTATTTTTACGCAAGATCCATTTTTAGCGTGTTATGTACCCTTTGGCAGGTCAAATTTAAAAAAATGATTTTTTGCTATACGGTAATTGTTCTCGACATCATTTCAACATTTCAGAGGCACAGAACGGCATGATTATACATGTGGCAGACAAGGGGATACCCACCTCTCGTCCGGTCAAAAATGTCCAGGGAAGGCTGATGTCACTGGAGAGCTTCACATGTGAAAAGAAATCAAATCGAGATCAAGGTTAGTAATACTGATGAGTCCTAAATGGGCGATATTGGGCGAAATGGTCAATTTGTGCAGTAAGATGTTCACTTTGTTTTTCTTTCCGCATCTCCAATGAAAACTTACAATAAATTTAATTATGCGTTTCAATTCTTCCATTTATTATAAGACATTAACACTGCATACAAAAAATCGAATACGCCTGCAAGATTGACGTTTTAAGTTCTGTACTAAATCCAGTATTGCTTTCTGCTGAGGACACAATAGTTGCAAAGCATTGTCTTGGTGTTTAGGTCACTATCGTTTTTTTCGTGTAAAGTTTTACTACATACTAAATTTTGTTAGATATCGGTCATGTTGGAAGGTAAATTGATGTGTTATGTGTGCTAAAAAAACTCGTAACGTTTTACAAATCAGTCTTCGTTATAGAATCTCTCTCGTACATGTGAAAAATAGACCCAAAAACGATGTACAAATAACAGGGAAATGAGTTTGAAACAAGATGTTCGTCGATATCATCATCAATTTCCGATGACAACTATTGTACATATATAAACACGTTGTCAAACTGTTAAATTGATTAAATTATAAGAAAATTGAAAAATAATGTATTTTGTCCTTAGCTCCGGTTCTCGTGTGTGTGGTTCGGCTGCTGAAGTATCTCCCGGGTCGCATCCTTCTCGGAGTTCCCTACTCGATCTCCCTACTGTCACAGATAGGGAGACTCACTGGTCGCCTGGACAACGCTCTCACGGTAGGCCACGTGGCTTAAAACCGACGTCATTATAAGGGATGGGAGTCCTAGAAGGCCTTTTATGAGCTTCTTGATTTTCGTATTTGAGCCTAAGCCTATTGTGATTTGTTGTTATCCGTTCGTCGTTCGTTACATTGTAGCAATTTTTTGGCTTTTACGAAATCTCGTAAAGAACCATAAGGCCAAGAGTCGTGGTATTTGAACGAACCTGGTATTGAGAACTATCAAAAATGTTAAAATAAACGACCTTGACCTTCATTCAAAGATACTGGGGCTAAATAGGATAAACTAACTAATTGCGTCTCATACTATTTTACCAGATATTTGACCTGTGGGTACAGTTCAATATTGTACCTGAGTTGTATGTCAAATAAATCAAACAAATGTTCAAATTAATCATAAACGACATTTGATTGCCATTTCAAGGTCAAATATATTAAAACTTGTTTTTGGATGACTTCTTAATTTGATTAGTGGGTAAATTGGTCCAATGTACTCTACCAAATATTTACTGAATACGGAGTTATGGCCCTTGCAGAATATACATACTTGCCATTTCTCGGTGTTTATCTAGTTCAGAATCAGTAAGGTTGTAGCTAAGGATAGAGTATCGTATATGTTTTGTCTGTTATTTACGTGCACCTTTTTTTAAATTCACAACTGAAATAAAATCTCTCCTGAAAAATAAGGACCCAGTGAAAACCCCTGTCGTAGCCGGAAATACAGCTTAAAATATATCACAACACACGCACACTACTACAGATAGAAGTGAAATGTCACCACCGAATAAAAACAAAACAAAAATTATGACTTCTTCCGTTCCCTACCCTCAGCCCATCAAGGAAAAGATATCAATCAGTTATCAATTGTGAATTGGAAAACCATCTCTAAACTTTCATGTGTTGTCAATGTTTGCAAACAAGTATCTGTGCATTCCTCATCTTCGCTAGCCAAGAAGGTTACGATCCGGGCTGAGAGCGTAAGTGAGCGTAACCCCTGGAGTATCGAGGATGTGTATTCCTATACAACCTCAAAATGTGAAAGCCTGTTTTATCGATAAACAAGCAAAAGTTTAACAATACTTGAATTCACAAACGTAAATATCAACAAAATAAGCCATAGCAACTATATTGGGAATATTCAGGAAGCATGACTTAAATGGATTTCGGTTATTAGTCGGTCATTAGAGTTACCGCCCTTGTTCACTGTTACACTGGACAAGCAGAATTCCAGTCGAGTAATCTTGAGCATCCATATAAATTGATGTTAAAACAGTGATGCACCCACCCAACACACCCTACTATAAAAGTGTAATAAGTTGCTTTAGTTTGAATCAAGCTGTGGTTTGCTGCGGGTTTTCTATTGTATTTACTATTTTCAGCTTTATGTATAGAGTTTATACAAATAAAATATCACCTCAAAGAAATTTGAAACACGTTATAATTCGTTGTTGCAAACATTGTTTCCAGGACTTTCAACATCCTGCACATACTCGACACCGCCGAATCTGGAACCTGACGGAACTTCCAGATCTCCAGAAATTCCTTTACTGTATAAAAGACAACGACAGATCGAAACTCATACAGGAAGTGTTGGACAGCTTCCGGTGTGACGTCACTAACAGTTATAGCATTCTTAAGTCAGGTATGATAAATTGTAGGTCATTCATTAATCATTGCAGTACGTGACAACTTTAAACATTATTTCCTTTTCCCATTTGATGATACAATGTATAAAAAAATGACTAGATAATTATGGAACGCCAAATAACCATACATGCAATTATTGTACCATTTTCAAATGTAGATATATGCAATAATATTGAAGATATGTGCACCTAAATTGAAGATAGGCGCAATTCAATTGAAGATAGGCGCACTTCAATTGAAGATAGGCGCAATTCAATTGAAGATGGGCGCAATTCAATTGAAGATAGGCGCGCTTCAATTGAAGATAGTCGCAATTCAATTGAAGATAGGCGCACTTCAATTGGAGATACAATGCAGTTTTTTTTATTTCAACATATTTTATTGCATAAATGAAGCAAACGGATTAGGCACAAGTTATATCAATATTACAAAGGCCCTCTCCATTTTACATAAATAGAGAAATAACATGATTTGATCACAATGAATACCATTTTTTCATTCAATAAATGAAATAATACAACAGATATAAGTGTTTACTTCTACCGACAGATTTTCATTTCCTATGAGCAATACATTTATATCAATGACAACATCTATATTTGAAAGAAGAGTACGTCTTTTTATATTATAACCAGGACATATGAAAAAGAAGTGGTAGGCATTCTCACAAGGATTTCCACAAATACATCCAGAGTTCTCAGTCAGATTTACTCTAAAAAGGTCATAATCTAACGGACTACATTTGTACCTCAACTTTGTATGCAATATATTAAATTTTCTTTAAACTGTAGAAGGATGGTGCTTTTTGATTAACTGGATGTGAAATAGCAGATTTAAAAGTAAAGATCAAAGGAGAAGATCTTGTTTCTACGTCTAACCCGTTCCAAGAAAGTAATGTTGATAGTAAAATAGAAGAGCGTGTACAAGAAAGTCTATGATTTGGAACGATAAAATCATCTCTGTTTCTAAGTGGATAGGGATTGTTAAAAACAACCGTAGGTGGTAAGAGATCGTTAAGAAAATAAGGAGTAATTCTGTTTTTCATCTTAAATAACAACTGCAGTTTTCTCATTTTTTCTTCGGTCTGATAACTTTTCCAACCCTGTTTCAGTGATAAAGCAGTGTTGTTTACATATGACGGAAGACCAGTAATGATACGTAATGCTTCTCTTTGAGCCTTTTTAAGTAACTCCGATTCGTTAAGAGTACATCCATCCCACAATTCACAGGCGTACTCAAACACCGGTAAAATAAAAGTGGTATACATTTTCAACAAAGTATTCCTATTAAGAATATATTTTAACTTCCTGAGTACATTTATCTTTTTCATTACAGAATTATAAACATAATTGACATGATCAGACAATTTCCCACTTAAATTGAAAACAACATCCAAGTGTTTATGCGTTTCAGTAAAATTTCAAATTTCACCACCAAAGATAAGATCAAGTTGACCATTTAGATTTACAGAATTAGTTATAAACAAAACCTCTGTTTTACCAGGGTCAAATTTACTAGCCACTGCTTTGCCCAGAAATCGAGCGATAGTAAGTCTTGATTTAACTCGGTTTCAATATCAACACAAAGCGTGGAGGATTTAAAAATAGTGGTATCGTCAGCAAAAAGACGAGATGTAGAACGTCAAACTTCAGCAATATCATTTATTTATATTAAAAAAGTAAAGGGCCAAGAATGGAACCCTGCGGTACTCCTGCTTTGATAAAACCCATGGACGAAAGTGAGTCAGCAATGAAAACTCTCTGGTTTCTATGACAAAGATAATCTTTAAACGATCCCAAAAGGTTTCCAGTAATTCCATAAGATTTCAATTTTGCCAATACCCCTCAGTGCCAAACCCTATCAAAAGCTTTTAATATGTCACAGAATATTAAACATGTATGTTCTTTTTTCTCAAGTGCCATGCACATATTGTGATAAATTTCAATCAATTGATAAACAGTAGAATAGGTACACTTCAATTGAAGATAGGTTTCATATTTGAACCTTTAATTGAATTTTACATATTTTCAATTATTTGAAGAAAGGTGCAATTATTTGAATATATGCTAATTTGGCGTTCCATATATAGCAATGTAGCTCATTTAATGATAAACTTTTTTCAAAGATTAACAGATACGTATGAAAAAAGTACCGTTAAATCTAACCATGGGACCGTTTGTATGGTAAATATGAATGAATGTAACACACGTTTTATCTTAAAGGAAACGAGCAACTTTTCGTGGAGATAATTATAAGCTTTTTGATAAATATTATAGTGACAACTTGTATTTCGACATAAATGTAATCACAATATGGTATGATCTTCATGGAAACATGACTGAAATATTTCAAACTTATTTTCTATTTATAGGAACACTACATGCTGATGTTAACGATTATAACATCCTCGTGAGTGAAACTCCTACTAATGGAGATCATGACGTCATGGGCATATTGGACTTCGGTGATTCTGTGTATTCTTGTTATGTATTTGAGATTGCTATAATTATGTGTTACGTCATACTCGGAAGTGACGTCATAGATCCCATAGATGCCGGAGGTCACACTCTTGCTGGCTATTTGTCCGAGTTTCCCCTAGGAAGGGATGACCTGAAGGTATTGAAGCAATGCGTGTGTGCTCGATTTGCACAGTCGCTTGTGATGGGGGCGTACTCTGCAGAAAATGATCCAGAAAATGCTGAATATGTGCTGTCAACAGCACAGAAAGGTTGGGCAACTCTTACAAACCTGTGGAACACGCCTCAGATTGAATTATACAATCGCTGGAGTCGGATATGCCGTGAACAGTATGGAATAGATGCAAAATTTGGTGGATATAACTAGCCACTGACAATTGTCATAACTCTATTGCAGGCAAAAAGGACAAACAATTGAATTAGGTTATTGATAATGTTTATTCAAAATATTTTAAAGTGGAGGAACGATAGTAAGGATAGAGAAAGTTAGGAAATTGAGCACTGTAGATTTACATTGTCGACAATTAAACGACCAATTAATAAATTAAAATCTCATGGTTTTTTTTACAACAGTTCATACTTACAGTGTGAGTTTAAGATACACACATTTTCATACAAAACGCAGTCACACATCTGTTCATCCAAACCATACATACATTCCACAATATACAATCGGTACGCCCATTCATGCAGTTTTGACTATCTACCCCGGGGGTATATCCATACATTCATCCTTTAGATATGTACATTGAGCATACGTGTACGTAGTTTACACAATATTACTTCAATGGTTTCGACTAGGCAGAGTTTGTAACTAGTCCGACAGACTTTAGTTACAAACTCTGCCTAACTAAAGCTCTGTAATACGATAAATAAATCACACTCAATGCGATGCGACAGATAATAAACGTTCAGGTATATATACATACACAGAGGAGGATAGAATGATAAGATAGGTTGAGAGAAACGGACAACAGGCGTACATACAACATTGTGGTAAAATAAATAAAAGATAACAGAAAAAATACGACAGGTAGTAAGGGAAAATACGACAGGTACACAGGCCACAACGTAGATGAATAAATACAAGATAACAGAATATATGACAAAAAAAAGTTGAATTGTGTGTGTGTGTGTGTGTGTGTGTGTGTGTGTATGTGTGTGTGTTTCATATTGTCTGTCGTCTCTGTATTGTTTTGTATATATGTTATGACTGATAAGACAACCGACTTAAAGTAATAAAGAACTTGACAGGTAGAAAAGGAAAGAAACGGACAACAGGTACACAGGCCACAACGTCAATAAATAAATACAAGTTAACAGAAAATATGACAGGCAGAAAAGGAAAGAAACGGACAACAGGTACACAGGCCACAACGTAAATAAATAAATAGAAGTTGACAGAATATATGACAGGTAAAAAAGGAAAGAAACGGACAACAGGTACACTGGCCACAACGTAAATAAATAAATAGAAGTTGACAGAATATATGACAGGTAAAAAAGGAAAGAAACGGACAACAGGTACACTGGCCACAACGTAAATAAATAAATAGAAGTTGACAGAATATATGACAGGTAAAAAAGGAAAGAAACGGACAACAGGTACACTGGCCACAACGTAAATAAATAAATAGAAGTTGACAGAATATATGACAGGTAAAAAAGGAAAGAAACGGACAACAGGTACACAGGCCACAACGTAAATAAATAAATAGAAGTTGACAGAATATATGACAGGTAAAAAAGGAAAGAAACGGACAACAGGTACACAGGCCACAACGTAAATAAATAAATACAAATTAACAGAAAATATGACAGGTAAAAAGGGAATGATACAGAGACACTATGTACACAAAGCACAACGCGCATGCGCGTCTTCAGCTGTGCAAATACAATAAATTACGTCATTATTTACAAATAAATACTTTGTACCCAAAAAGGGAACATTGAAAATACGTGGGATTATGAGCACTCAAATGCTTCCCTGAAAAATAAAAATACAAATGATGATCACTGTAGACTTGAGTGGGATACACTTGACAATGAATGGTAATTAGATATAATTCTACCCTTGTTACACACGTGACGTTGTATATATGCACGTGACACCCGTGTTTACCCACACGTGATGTCTTTGTTTACTTGCACACGATAGCGTAATGAATGGTGGTATAAATAGGTCTAAATGAAGTTTTAAAAACAGTCAACTGCACATATTCAAAAATGAAAACTGTCCATGAGTGCTTCTTAATATTCAGAGGCCACTTCCGGTTTTGCATTCAATACTCCGAAAACTTGAGTCTATGCTGTGCTTCTTAATATTCAGAGGCCACTTCCGGTTTTGCATTCAATACTCCGAAAACTTGAGTCTATGTTGTACGCCGCGTCTCCTGTCTCCTACGCACCAGGATTTTGACTTGGTCCGGAAGTGACGTAGGTCCGATGTGTGGTTGCTGTGAAGCATTGGCATGTATCCCATCGGCTCACAGTGTTCCTGCAAGAGTTGAAATGGATCGGTTATAATATGTTTCTCTAATTGATAGAATTATATAACGGATACTGTAGATATCGTGATATCAATAAAATGCACATGACTCAAAGAGAGAGAACATATCCCTGTATAAATAGGAAATAGTTACTGTCAATCTCATCATTATCGCGAGAATTTATTTTTCGTGAATTTGCAGTGATTTGAATTTGCGAAAGGCACAAAAACAACAGTGCGTTTTAAAAACACACACAAAGAGTGAAATAAACAACATTCTTACAGGATTTATTTACTTCACTTTTAAATGCCAGCAAGGTAAACTACAACTGATTACAGAAAATCGTCAAGATTATCTGAAAGTAGTGACATCTTAGCATTATAAGTAATCACTTACCTGACAGGAATAATAGAAGGCCTTGTAGCCTTCGTGCAGAAGATACACTTCGGGATAGTTCAGGAGTGGGTAGCGATCAGAGTTCAACTCGCGGTCAAGTTTGCGCAAAAGCCGAGACCTAAAAAATGAATAAGAAATATTTAACTGAAACAAAGATAAATCAATTTTAGTGCTGACTTTATCTGAATTTCCTTATAAATGGACATTTTCTTGATGAAATAGTTATTTGAGATATTCAAAAACATATGCACAAGTTAATGCTGCATGTAATATCTCAAAGGGCTATGAACTCAATGCCTAAACAGTTAATCTTGAATTGTTACAACTCCATTGGGTCAAACATCTAACAGGGTTTCCATTTTATGACATTCAAATCAGAAATATTAAATGAAAAATCTAAAACTAAATTTCTCATATTATCAAACAGGGCGTATTTTGAGGACCAAAGAGTATGTTACACTTACATCCTAGGTCCTCTAGCGGAGGAAAACTCGCAATGGAATATGATGATGTCTCGCTTTGAGGAGATCGGCACGGGATTTGACTTCTGACGTAAGAGTTCTTCAATCATTTCATTGGTGTACAGGTTTTCTGCTCCCTAAAATAGAAATTACGTGTTATAAGATTTGAACGGATGAAAAATAAATCACGATGTAACAAAATTCGTTTAAAAAGTAAATGACTTTCAAACACGACTACTTGGTTGATTCTGTTTTCTTATATTCATATTTTTTTCAACGAATAATCGGTAACAGTAAAGAATAAAAGCCAATTATTTGGATATTTTCAGGGGCAGTTCTATGTGAACAACTGTTACGTATACTTTGGAGACCTTGTTTTTATTCGAAACTACTTACTTAAGGCAAGTTTATTGAAATACAAAGCGAAGGATGTTAAGATTATTTGTAATTTGGCCGTAACCGGCCATAATATATAGATTTGTATTATAGTTGCACCTATGAGCCGTATGGCTCTCGGCCAATGAAGAATCTGAATCTGACCATGAACATACCTTGATATGGCCACTCTCAAACTCGTAAGGGTATCGACAGTCGATAATTCTGAAACTTCTGATGACGTCATCGTATTGACCATCCAATACGCCCGATAACTACAACAAAAGAATAGCAATGTATAAGTGAATCAAATATACGTATGTTTAACTTCTAAAGCGTAAATCTAATAAACATCCAACAATTCGTCGATTAAGCTACGTGGGTGCCTTCGATTTAGAAAAAAGGACACATGTGAAAACATTAAGTCAAACTTAAGACGGGAGAATTAGAAAACAAAGTCGTTCGTTGGTCAATTCATTAGCTCCATATACACCAAGCGCTTTAGCCAAGGAGGCCGTCTTACACAATGTATTTTATCACTTGATAAATCCCGGTTGAGAAGTATACTAACGTTAATTTTCAAATAGCTGATATGCTAACAAACAAGTTTTACTGAAAATATACTTAGCTTAAAGTTTCAATGTTAAGATAACTTACTGTGTTCGGAGTGATGCTTTTCAGATCGCTGTGTTTACCGGGTATTATGGGTAAACAAAATGGCTGACTGCCATTTCCGGTTATGTCATCGTGTTCTACGAATTTGTTTACGGCTTCAATCACAAAGCCTGAATCACATTTAGGGGGTGTTGCTGTATCCTGCAAAAAGATTGACATTCATACAATATTTGTCACTGAATCATGAAATAAAACTTTGTCATTATATTGAGGATTTACGCAGCTTCTTCGTTGTTGTTATATTACGTAGCATACAACAATACACTTAGTTTGAATTGTTGTTAATCTAATACGTCAAGGCATTTTGTGTGAAATACACTTTAAATAACGAAAATGAAAATTACCATAAATAGTCGGTGAAACTTAACATTTTAATGGAAGTGATAAGAAGAGCTTTATTGTGAAAACTTTAGAACATGTACTTATCTGACAGAATAATGAAAATATTTGACTTCATAATTGAAGAGAAAGTTTTATCAAGAAACTTACCTCAAAAGAGAGCATGTCGAACCCAGCAACAATATCTTCGCTTTCGGAACACTTCTGTCTCTTTCCAGACGACAAGGTGCCGTCCTCTACAGTTCGCGTCCGTTTCTGACTGAACAGAGACTTCCGAACAGTAGATTTAGGGTTTACCTGTGATAGATAAACATTGATAGTTAAATCTTTTATTATCGAAATGTTTACCCAAATACCTTGACATTTTTATTTTTCAGATCATTTTTTCGATACGATTTAAGACGTTGCATTTCAAAGCTATCTCAAAAATGGCGCTTGCGGCACAACGTCAAACACAAAAAAACAAGATAGGTATCAGTTTTACCCTCGAGCGTTTAGGAGACCACGCCGGGTTGAAATAAAACCAAGAATTTTAAATGAAGAATTTCGTTACAAAACCTATGGAAACATGACATAAATATAGATATGTTTTATTTTATATAATAAAGGAGCAGACTTATCGATGTATATATTTCCGTTAATTAATGAATGGACCTAACAAAAATTGTCAAAATTAATAAGCTCGTTATAATAATAATAATAATTGGAGGTTCTATCACAACCTAGTTCGTAGGTCGTCTCAAAGCTAGTTCATAAATATTTTATTAAGTAAGACACTTAATATATTTTATCTGTTGTGACGTCATAAGATATTCTGGAAGTCTGTTACGTTATTTCATAAAAAAATAGTGACGTCACGCTACAAATAGTAATATAACATGCGTTCATACGCAATATATTATATAGACATATTCTCCAAATAACATTGTAATCATTTGACAATACGATAAACATCACTGGCTAACTTAAGATGCTTACTATAGCATTGTGTCGGTGCGTTACACTTACCTTTTCTTTTACAAATCCTGGAGTATCGATTGATAATGATGTTGATTCCTCATCTTTGAACAGATTTTCCGTCTGGTGAAACATAATAATCAAATCATTAAATATACACGTTAGATTTTAATTCAAGTAATACTTTTTTTTATATAAAATACGCCATAATAGCGAAAAAGTGAAAAGTTGACTCGGTATGTAAAATGTATGTAATCAGTACCCTACACAAGTTTTGAGCATGTTGAGCAATATTGAAAGGTTGTGGGAAAAGTCGCGGTGGGACATTTCAGCATTGGCTCTAGTACTGCTGTTGCGATACCTATTCATCGAGTGGCTTACGTTAGCGCATGCGTAGTTTCGCGCTTAGTAAATAAAAGCAAAATAACTATAAGAGGTTGGGGTTGTTTTTTTGCAGCGTAAGTAATCCTGTTATGATAGCTAATAAGGATTCTAAAGGGGATGTTTGATCTATTCCCAGTTGCAATTAAAGGAAAAATATTGTAGAATTCGGCCTTGACACGACGGAAGCACGTGTGACACGGTCAGTAATTGCAATAATTGTCCGTGTATCTGACCTTATATCAATTTACACTCGCGAGTGGCCGGAGGCAGGGCGACTGTTCTAACTGACTGATACTGTTTGACCTTCCAGTGAGAGAATCAGACTAGTGTGCTTGCATGCCGATTGGAAAATCAAGAAATTCGTTTTTCTATTGACTTACAAGTTTCATACAAAATTGACATCTAAAAAATATATATTTGTAGTTTTGCACATTATTAAATGGTCCGGAATCAGTGGTTAAAGTCGTATATACAGCAGCACTAACTCATAAATTAGAATTTCGTTTAAAATACTTACATTTAAAGTTTTTGTTTTCACATAAAAGCTGAGCTTAAAGTAATATATTTGATCGTGTTAAGAAATAGTACGCGCCTGTATTGTCTTAGATGCTTCATAATCAAATTAGAACAGAAATGTCGAAGTTAAACAAACACTAGTCAGCTCTATCAACCGAGGTTTTTCTGAACGCGAAACATTGAAAAATAATAAACTTCGACACCGATGTCAATTTCAGAAAAAAAAGACATAAAAACTATCAAACTTTGTTCCGAGAGCTATACGGGTACCGAATGTAAAGCCTATCAAAGGAGAGAACAAAGAAAAATATATTCTTTAGAACAGTACAAGTAGGATTTATCGATTTGTTACGTAAGATATAGTTGTTCTATCAACTTCAATATCAATTTCAATTTCAGAAAAAATAATAAATAAATAAAAAGAAAACCGAAAATATACTATCAAAATCTGTACAGATAGCTAGGGGTACTGAATTTAAAGCTTATCATTGAAAGGATGGAACAAAGAAAGAAAAAACCTTTAGAACAGTACAAACAGGATTTATAGATTAGATAAGTCAGATATAGCTTGTCAATTACCATGTCCATTCCCAGGCCAGAATCTTCATCTTGGATGTCCATCGGCCGGAGGCTTGCTGACCAGCCCGGGGTCAAGAGGTCAGGGTCAATATTGACACTCGTCAGACAATAGTCAACATCCCGGGGGGTTCCGAACATCTTCAAATCCATCTGAAAACAAGTTTAGACATTTTTTTAAGATTATGTAAAGATTTAATCATGCTTTTTCTCAGAAAATGTTTGATCCTAAAACCTGTTATTTTACCTATGGACTTAAAAGACAGGAATCATTGTTCTAAAGGCCATGTCCAAATCTGTTTTAAAAATTTGAATTTTAAGCTATATATTTTAAATGTGTCATGTACTTTTTCCACTAGTTTAATAATCTAAATTAAAAATGTGTAGATATTAGTACTATTTGTATTTACAGTGTGGATATAGATGTATATATATGTATATCGATGTAAAGTTACATAATTCATTAAACTGAAAGTACATTTTCAATATCCAAGCAGTCTTAAATTTATAATTTAATCTGTTATCAAAATATTTTTCTGTAAATCGATACAGCTGTCGGATATTATTTGAATTAAGTAAAATATGCATGTGCATATCATTTAGGTTTTAAATATCCCGAAGGTTATTTCAACATCCCGAAGGTTATTTCAATTCAATATAAACTATGTACATGACATTTTGGTTTTTTTAATATCCCGAAAACAAAACCCGATTATTTTAATTTAATAAAACCTAACACGTCAATTACACTTTGATTTGAAATAACTCAAAGATGATTTAAATTCAATATATGTATGTGTATGGCATTATTTATTCAAAAATACCCACAGATTACTATAATACAATTTAAAATATATATCAACATGACATTTTAGTTTTAAATAACCCAGATATTATTTAAATTCAATACAAAAATGCATGTACCTGATATTTATTTTTTAGATTAATTTAATTCAGTAAATCAAACATATAGAAAAAATGTATATTTTGATTAAAACTAAAAATGTTTCACTTACCTTTTAAGTTATAATCCGGTTGTCGATATCCTTATTGAAACTGTAACACAATTGGCGAAATACATTACAATTCATTCAGTACAATATAATACAATACAATACAGTATACAACGACAGCACCATATTACCGTACACATGTAACACAAATACATTCCGTAAATATATGACCGGGATTCGTTTTTATGATTAAGAAACGATAATATTTCTAGAAAAAGGATATTTTTCTATTCTATATACATTTTGAAAATTAGTAAAATCCTTTGCTCCGAAATGAATAAATCCAGATGGTACACGCATGACACTGATCAAATAAAAATCTTGATTTCTTCTAAAGGAATAATGTCCATGGCCTATATTAACAATAACATCCTTTTAGAAAAGCTGAGCCGATTGAAATTGCGGAAACTGGTAAAATAAACATGAGATTTGCTATGTCGATCAAGATGTCATGATATTTCTGTAATAACTCACAATAAGATATATACAATTGTATCGATATCCAGAAATTTCTGGAGCTCCAGAACCCGAAGTGTCGCTCCCAGTGTTGACAGATGAAATGATGATCTTACATCAACAAGCTATTGTATAGGGTCAACCAGGAATAATGAAATAAATTTGTCAATTTTTCAACCCATAAATTACATGGCAAAAGAACATTAAATTCTTTGAAATGAAATAAAATAAGAAATAAATCAAACAAATATCATTAATATCAAAACCCATAAAAATGTCAGTCGTTACCTTCTCCTTTGGGATCTAGAGAATGACTGATGAGGTTTGAACGTCTTGTGTAAATATAGACACTTTCTGACCGGTTTTAATGTCTTTATCGACACGTCTATCTGAAAAAAGGCACAATAATTGAACCCCAAGGGTTCCAAATGTCCGTTCGTATTGTCAAAAAAGATGTTCAGCTGTTTGGCTAACAGATGTCGCCACTGGGCAAAAGTGGTACCGTCCACCGCTCACCAGATGTCGCTACAGGCAAAAAACTTAAGATCTTTTAATCTGTTTTCAAAATATTGAAAAAATACTTGTTCTGTTACCTGAGTTTTAGCGTTTGTTCTTTCTCAAACCGGCTATGTAGCTGGATTTGGATGCGTTATCGATCAATCGCATCTTGTTAAACGTATAGATATCGCTAATCAAAGTCAAATTTCCTTAAGTCCTCGCATCTCTATGGATAATTATAAGTTCGCACCAGTATTCTTTAATAACGAAGATAAAATTGGCGTAATTTTTAACATATCAATTAAACTCTTATAATAGAAATAGTATATCGATACCAATGCAGAATATGTTTAATTTTTTATGATTTTATTTTGTTTTTATTTGGGATGGAAATAGTATATCGATACCAATGTAGAATATATTTAATTTAATGTTTTACTGTATCTTTTTTCATGATTTTATTTTTGTTTGTATTTGGACGTAGGCAATAATTTTGCGTAAAAAACACATAGATAGATAAAGAATTTGTTTAATGCAAAATTGTAATGAAAACGAATTTATTTAGTTGGATGATGGTTTATGTAATAGGCCATCAAAAGAACAGAATACATATGTATATAAGCTTAATGTGATATACATCCTCATCCCAGGGGATTTTCACTTGAAGAAATCTGTTAAAAAACAACAACACCGATTTGATCGTTATGAAAGTTTGAATGTTATGAAAGTAAAGGGACCCTTCAATTTGTTTGCTTTTACAGTCCTTTTATCATTTAAATTCATACTTAGGGAGTAAGAACGTTTAGAAATTACTCCCTGTAACGCTGCAGAGAAACTATTGCAGCTGGCATCATCGCCATCAAAGTACAGTCAATCATTGCTTTATACTCAAGAGGTCTAGGGACCGAATCTTCTCGACGTGATTTTTTTTGTGAAAAGGGAAATTATATTAACTTTATTTCTTTTACAACAATAATGAAACTAGTTATTTCATTTCGTACTAATTAAGTCACTCTTGTTGGCCCAGATTGAAACGAGCGAAGTGTTTGAACGCCTTATTGTATATAAATTACGATAAAATATGTTTAAAACAAAACACATGAATATCCGGAGAAAATCCACGTGATCGAACAGATGACCCAAATGCCTTTTCACGTAAATATGTCATTGGATTTTACATTATTACTAAAGTAAACAACCTTACATTATACTTAATTGCTAGATTACACTGTACAACACTGTAATACGATGTTCTGTTATATATGGTATGGCATTGTTTCATACTAGATAATGATGTAACGCATTGTAATATGCTAAAAATATATAATTAATGTCATTGTGTATTACTGCATCTAACTGTATTATGTATCAGTACTTATATTGTGGGGCATTATATTACATTAGAATATGATATATTTTACAACACTATATACCACTGTACGGTTAAGATGTGCGATGTGCTATATTGTAAGTGTTATGTCAACTCCCCGAAGTGTTGTATGTAACACACAAGGAATAAAGAATCTGAAACTGAATCACGTCTGATCGGGGAATCGAACCCCGCCCGTCTTGGTAAGCGGCGAGTGCGTTATATTTATCCACTGCGCATCTCAACTACCATTGAATTAAAATAACTATGCATGTAATTCTTTCCTATATACATTATGTAACTCTTTGAAAAGTAAATGAGAAAGCAATTCCAAATCAAAAAAAAAATGCCGAACAAATTGTAATTCTTCAATATACAACGCAGAACGCTATGTTTAGATATATGTTGACTTCCAGAATTCTACCACATCGGTAAAATGACGACATTAGTTCATTGGTCAACAACCATCATGGTTTATTGGATAACAGAGCATGCACGTGCCACAATTACACATGCACGCAACACAATAACACAGGCACGGTGCTGTTTCCAAAACCCTATCCCTTTCCCCCCATATCTAGGCCGCTCATTGAAAGTCAGTCAAAAATAAAAATATAACTCGGAATCTAAATAATGTTGTAAAAATATAGTTGCAATGTTACTCTAAAAATCTGAACACATATTTATTTTTTCCACAACATTTTGAAATCCCGAGCTATATAGATTATCTTTACTTTAACTATTAAGGGGAGGTAATGCCTACAACTTATGAGACCAATAATGTTGTTTTCTCTGTATATACGTTTTCATCAAAGCCTAAAGTGACCAATACTTTGCGGTTTTTCCTTTCAATTATAAAAAAATAAATGATTGATTATAAATGCGAAATAGTAATTACATACATGAAACAATATATATTATAAATTTTCCATTCCACGCCTCATTTAATTAATTAGCAGGAATTGTGTGTGATATTAAAATGGTGCGGTTGTTATTAATATAATTATTGCTTTAGTACGACTTAATTCTTATGTGTTTTGTTTGTATATAAATATTGAGAAGTGTCGTTTTTTTTATATATAATTTCAAGATTTTGTTCCGAAACCCATGAGCTTTGGGAAAAAATAAATGTATTTTAACCAATGAAGAAAAACTTCACATGAACGATTTAACCAAAAAAGTAAATTTCAAAAATCATCAAGTACAAATATTTGTAAAATATTAGATTAAATGTAGGGGGGAAACTAGCCTTAATGTTTAACGTCATCTACCATTACATATTTTATTTCCCCTTTCCACCTGTAGAAACAAAAAATATTTCTGGAGATCACACTTTCACACGTGCCACTATAAATTGCCGCAAGCCAGTCACACTTCTGTACAAGCTGGGCTGGAGGGGAGTGAGAGCCGGGCGTCACAATTACCAGTTTGTGTTAGGCTTAAGACATAAACCATCATGACATGTCAATTTCATTACCAGGTCACTTTTTGACTGACTTTAAATCGTCATAGAAATCAGATTCCGGTAATCGATATCAGTTTCTTAATTGAAATTGACACTTTTTCCCTGTGTGATGTTCCTGAAATGTCAATTTCAGTGTCATTATGTTACAAGGCAAAGCTATATATAACATAGTTCAGAAATGACGTGCCGATTATGATATGATACTAGTTATTCAAATGTATCAAGATAATGATTTAATGAGGAATATAACGATGTTGTTTATATAGACAATGCTGTCCACGTAACTCCACAATATAGATATATATATATATTACGACAGAAACTTGCTGGCCACCTACATGTATAATGTTCAACGGAAGAAATACTATGATCACTATATTCATTAGTATAAACGTACATGTAAGAGTGTCTTTGGAAATCTTCAAATATCGACTAACATCTAGAAAATTGTTGAATTAATTAGAAATGAAACTGACTTACTGTATAATCTTTGGAAGTACCAATATTTGCTTATTTTTTACGAAGAATGGAAATCGCTGAGTTAAAATAATGACATTTATTTGTATATTTGTCTTAGCTCTAAACGTTTTTTAATAAGATGACGCTACTTTACGCCAACATTAGGTAAGACATTTCCTGCCCTTCCCACACTTTAAAAGTAGCCATTGCTAGCTCCAAACTATTAAGTATTTAACACGAGAGACCGGAAAGAGGAAAGGGACCTAGACAAGTCCATAATGTACCCTTCCTCTGTTTGTGCTTGTCCTCTGTTGGTACTTGTCACCTTTTTTCGAACAGCTTAAACATACTTTGTTTACCTTCTGAATATTTGCTCATTAGATGAATGAATGTAATCCGCTTCGTCCCAGGTACAAAATGTGTCTCAAATTTCACCTTCGATGGGAACTTAACCGTTTAACGACATTTTTTCTTATTTGATTCAAACTTACTTTATTGCCACAAAACGCAACAGTAGGATTTTGGCACAGGTTAAGACAAAAAGAAATATTAATGCTCTTTCCAATTCAATACAAGGTACAAAAAAATAAGAATCACCAATTGATTATATAAGTAAGGTAAGATTGTTGCTTGAATGAAATCGAACACAATATAATTTTGTCAGTTAATTGAGATTAGTTGCTAGATTTGATAAAGTTGTGTAGTTTTTTAACACCATTACGTTTGTTGTCTTCGGGCAGACTTTCATTGCCCCGTAAATTGTGTCTGTGTTGATATGTGTCCAAGTTATCGATATTAAGAAAAAGTAAACAATCAAAGGAATAGTGAAATTCGCTCTCAGAAGGATTACTGCTTGTGCGTTAGGGTTGCGCGTAAGATAAACAATAACATAAGCTATAGTTTCGAGAACTACAGTAGTGAGGCAACTTCGTTGGTATTACATTTACATTTCTAGCGCTAAGTTAATAATAATTTGAAGTTTGTGATTAATAATACAACACCATAAGACAAAAAACCTGTCCAAGTAATATCCGACTTGTCTTGATTGAATGCAGCGCGCAGTATATCCATTACCCCCTCAAACAGGGTTCGAAAATTCCATTTTATGTGTTTAAGACTCAATTAAGTATTTCACGTATACTACTGAGCAACATTCGGGCTCAAAATTTACAGCGGACAATAACGAGAAAATGATTAATCTATTAAGCTGATGTAACACGTTTTTGTGTCATTTTTTCCCCGTCAGTTTTCGTGAATTTTAAATCATACCCATGCAAGCGGTATTTAGCAGATCATATGTGT